ACTTATCCAGGCATCACTAGACCTTACCAACATTCCTACAGGAAGTCAGCCAAAGTGTGATGAGCACTGTTTTACACATGGCAGCCAGGACAGTGGAGAGAGAACTCAATTTCTCCATGAGGATGCTGGTGTCCTGCGTCATGACAAGAGATGGATGCTATGAGGGGTCATTCCTTATTAACAGCATAACCTCTACATGTGAACAAGGGCAGTGTCATACAATGGCTCTTGTTTGTGCACCTTCTAGGCAGTCCCTTGGCCCTAACTTGCCCAGCCTTTGTCCAGGGAAAGTGGCCCTAATGCCATGATCTCTCAGCCCCCGGGGAAACTGCCAGAGGCAGCCCACATGTGAACAATGAAAAGCAAAAACGCTGCCAACCCTAGATCAACAAAACACAACCTAAACATCATACCCACAGATGAGGCACACTGAAGAATCCATCTGGTCATGCACAGTTGGCTGCTTAGTGATGTCAGACAAAGCTTGGTTTCAGCTGTCCCACGAGAGGCTGTTCAGCAAGTCTGTCATGGAGCTATACCTCTTGAGTGGACGCTTTGCTGCTGTTCCTCCATCCTCATCCTCCTCTTTCACAGCACTGGAGCTGTGGCAGCACAGAGAATGAGGGGAAGGTAGAAGGAAAGTCCAATGTTAATTCATACTGGCAAACATTTTGATTGCTTTTGTGCACCACACTCTCCAAACACATCTTTGAAATGGTTAAATGTTTGTAAGATGGCACTGCAGAAGCTGAAGAACCTGGAGCACTTTATGCACAGGACTTAATAGCAGGAGAATGATTCCTAAATCCAGGCAACCTCAATAGCTGGCCCAGGAAGCCAAGCTGAGTGTTGGATACTGCCAAACAGAATGTGCTGCCTTCCCCTCCCACCTCCTGAAACACAGATCATCTGGGTAGCAAACGATGCCAAGACAGCTAAACATCTCCTACTTGCATCACCCCTGCTGCTCTAGACCCTCCTGGAGCTGCCAAAGCATGGTGATGATTCAGTTGGAAAACTGTTTTCCGCCCTTGTAGACCAGACCTTTAACCTTGGATTTTGTGCATCTCTACCACTCCTTCTCACACCCTGCCCCCAAACATTGCTTCTCTGTGAGTAACAGCAATTTAAACTGTCTGGCCTTAAAATGGTGAGAGGCTCTGGCCCTTTACTGAGCAGCAGCTTTTTCATGGGTGAGTGTGATTGCTCTTTGCTCATAATATATTCATCTGTTAAATCTCAGTTTGAATACGAGTAAATGCTGAAATAATTTTCCTGGATTTTAGTCACCAACATGAGGAAAGGCATCCTGAAAGCTTGTTTATCCACCTTCCCTTTCCTCTCCCAGCACACTCTGCATTTCCTAAAATATCCTCCCGCTAGAGCTTTTGTCTTCACAGCCTTTGCAGCTCTTCTGCTGCCATTGTGTGAAAATAGGAGCGAGCCCTTTCTTTCTGGCCTGGCAGGATGAAGGGGTGGGATGGGTGTGGAGGCGTCTGTGCGTGCCAGAGAGTGAACAAGCATGAATAGGGCCAGCTGGCCCCTCTCGTGCCCGTCCTTCCATCATTTCCATCTGATACTGCCTGCTCATTGTAATTTTGCAGGCCACATTCACTAACACAAAGAGACTAGGGAGCAAGCAAATGAACACATATTTAAAGGGAAAAAGCTTTATTTCTTATTTTCTTAGATCATGGTAGACTGCAAAACAACAGGGAAAAATGAGATCAACTTTGTTGTCCTTTTTTTTTTTTTTTTTTTTTTTTTTTTTTTTTTTTCCTTTTTTTTTTTTTTTTTATATTTTAATAATAATTCAAACAGAAGAAAAACAACCAGGAAATTGTTCTCACNTTTTTTTTTTTTTTTTTTTTTTTTTTTTTTTTTTTTTTGCCAGTCAAGCTTCCCTTTTATATTTTAATAATAATTCAAACAGAAGAAAAACAACCAGGAAATTGTTCTCACAAAAGCATGCTTTTTAATAAAAAAAGAGAATTATGTTTATTGAGAAGGATTATTCTCTGGATATGTACATTACTAATGTAGGAGGATTACACTAACAGAAAACGGCAAACATCATGGATTGACTTCCAAAGTGTGGACAGTCCAAAGAGCAATGTCCTCAGAGCAAGTAAGTCAACAGGAACAAGTGAAGAGTGGTTTGGGGTTTTTTTTTAACAAGAAATTACCAGCCATTATGACTGAAGACCTGACACGTAATAACCTGCAGTGAGATGTACAGAAACCCGTAAGACGACACAGAATTTGCACAAGACGGTAACTGTAAGAATTTCCTCCAGAAAATGGAAGCAGGTTCTAGACAGTTTTGGAAAAAGACAAAGAAAAAAAAAGACTGAAAAAAAAGTGCAGGAAAATACTAATATTGGATATCCTCAGATCACAGTGAATGCCAGTCCTCCTGGGTACAAATGCTACCTGTTACCTTTATCTTCACTACTTCTCCTTTCCCTCAACTAATTGCTTTATCATCATAAGAAAAATTACTTTAATGTGAGCCTTCTCCTGCTATTGCCTTTTTGCTGCAGCTCTTGTCAACTTGTAGTTTACACAAAGTGCAAAATCCAACAAACCCTCAGGTGAAAGACACATGCATCTTCCCAGCCAGAGCAGTACTAATCACAGCTAATCATTTCAATACTAGGTAATGCTGCACAAAACATCACACAAACACTGTCAGAACAAACTCAGCAGCAGTAATTCTGGGGGAGGGAGAACATGGAGATCAATAACTGCCACCAGTTAAGTTTCCCACATGTTGGAGTGCTTTGAAGCAATTTCTCCCACTGACTGCACTCGGGATTTATTTTTTGTTCTTATCCAGAAACAATGTAGGCTACTGGGAAGGGGTAAGAGGTTGATTTTTTGCAGCACTTCCCAGAAAAGCAGCAATGTAAAAATCAAGACCGTATTTTTCTTTCAATTTTTACCTCTACTTAGTTTTCTTTTCAAGAAATGTGACTCAGCTCAGTCTGGGTTGTGCACTCCTGACTGCCAGGCACAATCCCCTGTGAAGCTTTGTTCCATCTTTGATAACCCTTACAAACATTTCTTCTGTCTTAACTTTCACTTAAAGGTTAAAGCCTTTGTCTCACCCCAAAGCAGGCAGAGGATGTTGTTGCTAATAACCAGGTCTGGGGATGTGAGAGGGAGATCCTGTGCTCCCAGCATTTAGGTTAGAATGCTCCCAAAAGAATTACTTCACTTCTCAGAAGGAGGAACAGTTTCCATGGGCTAATCCACAAAGTCAAAAGAAAAAAATCCACGATTTCTCTGTTTTATCCTCAGTGGGATACATATTCCTCTCTCAGCAGTGTGCTTTCTGCAGTATCTCCTGCTAAAATAAATGGTGGGTTCCCTAAACAGTAATTTTTCCATCTTCAGGCTTTCTCCTGTTTCTCCAGCTTCCTTCTGTCACATATACCCTATTCCGTAAACATTACCATGAGAGGACCATATAGTTTTAATCTTATTTTGAAAATTACTCCAGAGTTTCAGTAGATTTGCTGGCTTCTGTGCTTGAAGGAGTTTATGTCTCCCTGTGGTTCACTACATCTGTGGGGTTTAGCTTTTGTAGCATTTAAGCTTTGACCTAAGGACAAGTTCAGAGGCCAAAAATCAACTCCTAACTCAGCTGAAGCTAGCAAGCCTGCCATGACTTATTTGTCAGCATGTAGTTCTGACAGGTTTGTTAGTGTGGGATAAGCTTCACCCCAGCTGGACAGGCCTGAGTGATGGAGCAGACAAAAAGGCTTTGGAGGACAGAGGTTTGTAAGAAGTCAAATATTTTGGTATTTTGTAAGGAGGATTTTGAGGAAAATTGACCTTAAATATATGATTTATTTTCTTCTGGATTTTTTCTCCTTTTGACAGGTTAAAAGCCAGTGCAAAAGAATTATAATGTTGGAATCCCTACAAACAGGTGAAAATGGGCTAAGATTTGGGTGTTTTAATCTAGGCAACAATTAGCTCTAATTCTATGTGTGGCAACAAGCTATTGGCACTGAAAAGATCAAACAACAAAAACTGGTTTAAACTCGGTTAAACACACTCAGAGAACTCTTGTGACTAGTCTAGACAGTAGTAGTTTACTACCAATTCAGAATATCATAGTCTATCTTGATAAGAAATGCTACTGAGAAATTTGTTGACTCTGTGCTCCTTTATCTCTTCAGGTAATTTTTAGGCCACATCTTGAATTTGTTGCTCATGCTTTTATGAATGATAAAAACCAGATGGAACATCTTGAAGGAGTTGCAGGAATTGGCTTCTGCCTATTGAGGTGCCCACATCTAATATAATCTATTAAGTATAAACATTGCCTGGAGGCAAACATAAGAAGAGAACATGAAGCAAGGGTGTATAAAAGTTAAGATATTATTGAATTAAAAATGGGAATTAATCATCCCCCCTGATTTTACCTTAAGAACAGAGCCATCAAAATTTCCCACAGAGAATTCTTACTCTTGTACGAATTTACTGCTTAGTGAGACTTTATCTATTTGACTGAAATTCCAACTGGAAAATACATTAGAAGTATTTAAATATTTCTAATAGCTTGCAAAGAGTTTAAAAGTTTTCAGTCCTATTCAGTACCAAACTGAATTTTAAATTCCATTTGGGGAATAACAACATAATGTTTTAGATTATTCAAGTCAAACCAGTGCTCAAGAGATAAAATGGGAACTTTCCGTTTCCTCCCCGTTAAAGGTGTTCTTAGTTCAGTGGAGACGTATTCCTGATCACATCTTTTTCTTCTCAAAAGTGAAGGCTGTAATTAAAAAAGAAAACCAGAAAACCAGCATTGAAGCACATTTATAAAGTTGAATACCGTGGAGTTGGACAAAATGACCTTCCAAAGTTAAAGAGAAGCTGAAATAGCCAATAATTGAAATGTCACAGGAGGAACTGGCTGCTGAGAAAAAGCAAATATTTAAAAATGAGAAAGATTTTACAAGTCACTGGATTAATTTCTCTGCCAAGTTCATCAGAACCAAATATATTTCTATTTGATCTCAGGGACATCAGGTACAATCTCACTAACCTTGTGGGCATAAAATAACCCCGGAGGCCTCTTGAGCCCAGAACAGTTTTAATGCAGAACATGCAGAATGCAGAACAGTTTAATGCAGAAAGAAATAATGTCATATATTGAACATATATTTTTCAGTGAGGTAGATGCACCTTGGTATTGAAGACAAAGAATTGCATTTTATGAAAGAAAGTTATAATTGTATGAATAACTGCTTGTGCTTCCATCTTTTACTGCTTGCTCTGAAGGAGCTGCTGTTGCAGCAGAATCCAGCTCTCTTATTAGAAGCTAAATATGAGATACTCCTGTCACTTGACATACATAAGATTTACGTCCCTTCAGGGAGCTGTTCTGAGTTTTGCTCTTCTACTTCACTGGTTTCTCACCATCTTTACTCCATGGAAATATCATAGTGATTAGCCAACAATTGCAAATTTTAATTAAATTGAGATTTCAAGGTGATTCCTGCTTTGTTTTCTTGATCTCCAGCCTCATTGCACAGGCTCTGCAAAAGTAGATACTTTCATGTTTTCAGTACTGATTTGAACTGCAACAAATTGTGATCACTCACGTTCAAAAGGCTGGGTCTGTAGAGGAATGTAATTTCACTGGGGGGAAAAAAAAAAAAGAAGAAAAAAGCCTGGGAACAGGTCTCCAGACAAGAGTGTGTCTAGACATGCTTTGAAATGATTAATAATTCCAGTTCCTCCTAATTCTTCCTACTGACACAGTGGGAATGAAGCTGCTCAATGGGAAGTGGCCAGAGCCGTGGTGGAGACAGACGGACAGATGGACAAATGGAGAGCTCCTGCTCAGAGCTCAGCACCTCATCCCCATCCTCCTGCAGGAGCTGCATCTCAGGGTCAGTGAAGCAAGGGCTGCACCCCTCACCACTGACCAAGTCCCTGCATGGTCACTCCTTGGGGCTGCTGCCTGCTGGTGGTGCCACCAGCCACACTGGGACAAGGCAAACCTCAGCTGCTCTTATTCTTGCAAATATCTGAAAGGTTCACCTTCAGTGCCTCTTTCACTGGAACAGCTTGTGGAATTAAGAGTTAGGCTGGCTACTGCAAGATCTCAGCCATAAATTTCAGTTCAGTCTCAATTTTACCTTTCTGTGCACTACTTTTAAAAAGAAGCATAAACATGGTATTAATAATACTAATGACAGTGTCTGTTCCAGTACAAGATGATTTGGATGTGTTTATGGTAGCCCATGATTTAATTTACACGCAATTGAACTGGTGAGATTTACAACTGGAACAGGAGATCATCTCTATGTACATCTTTATTTGGACAGTCCCTATATTATTGTTATACGGAAAAATTAATCTTTTAAAGGGATATATAAAGCCCAGGCTAAGCTTGTTCATTAAGCACTCAACACATGGTATTTTAGTGACTGAAAGGGGAAAAAAAAATATTGAACAATTTGCATAATTCAGTACTGCAGCATGTGACTGCATTGGCAAGGTCACCATGCTAAACTGACATCATCCACACCACATGCAACTTCGAAAAATCCTCCAATATTTACATGGTGATGCATGTAAAGTGTCACACTACTAAGGGTATTTTATTCCTTTCTGCATGTTTAATAAGCAATTTAATTTTTAAATTAGGACTTCAGTATACTTTTAATTTACAGGACAAAAAGCTTAAGTGCCCTGTTGAGCTTTTTTGGCTACCTGTAAAAACCACCACTCTCCTCTATTACGTATTAATTTTATTTCCAAAAGTAACTCTCATTGACTCATATAACCAGCAGTTTCTTTTGTAATTAGAAGCTTATTAGGTTGTTATTTACAGTGTAAGTGATCAATAGTTTTTACTCTGGATCAGACAGTGTCAAAGCTCTAATAATTGGTATTAAATGCAAGAGAGATACTGCAAACAAAGCAAACATTAAAAAAATCTTCCTAAAATATATACTATACTGGGAGATTATTAAAATTCCCGATACTGGCTAAAATGTTATATGTGCTGAATACAAATGATATTTTACAGAAAGATTTGTGGATCAAAGATGGATTTAATAATCATAATGTTTAGGAATTTGTTTTGAAAGTATTTTTAATTGGATAATGGCAGACTTCTGAATTACAATGCTGTGCTCATTAGCATTTCAATAGGTTATACTATCAACTCCTTTTGACATAAAAGAATTTGATTAATTTTAAAAATCATGAATCTCATGATCTTTTTTCTGCTGCCACTAGTTTTCAGTAATTTGATTATCTTCTACAAGAAGAGCAACAGGAACCACATGGGCTTTGCTGGTAATGATGGTCTATATATCTCTTCTCCAAAAGAAGCTCTGCTGCCTTTGAAAGTAATTTTCAGTTTCTTATCAACACAGAATTAAAAAGTAATATTGTCTAATTTGTTATGTTCAGTGGCACAGAGTATTGTAGAATTCTATCACATGCAAATCGCTTTGAAACCTGTATTATGTGACCATAATCAAAAGTACATAAATGAATTTCAAAATTTATGAAAGTGTTTATTATTAGCCAAGAAAAATCTCAAAAGACGAACTCGTCAATAGGTTTAATAGTCTCTTAGCAAGATGTGTATTTTGCACACTCAAAACTCAATGCAGTTTATAAAATAGTGATTTCTACTTTATAGTTGTATTGCAAATGACTGGTCTGGACATTTCAGAACAGGACAGGGCATAATTGTGTAAGTCTCAGAGTAAATCTGTACATTCAACATGATGAACTCCTTGCTTGCAGAAGTTATCTTTGACTTCAACAGGAACAAAAACTGATTACTGCTGATCACTTAGACATAACTGCTTGTAACAGTCAACAAGCCATCACAGTAAGGTATAAAGACAGCCCTTAGGAGAAATGCTGCCTATCTGATGACATTTAAAGCTTTAAAAAATTCCTTCTAGATACTGCAGGAAATCATCGTGAGCCAGCGCAGGCTGCCAATGCCACTGAGTGGAACCAAGCCATTAAATCATGTGTATTGGTAACACTGCCATCCAAACCATTAAATTAATTTATGGAGCTGGTCTTGCAAACAGTTCATCATGTCAGCAATGCCAAGGTCTGTGGTAGGATCTACCAGTGTGAGAAAAGCCAATCACATGGGTACATGTGGATGGTGCTGCCTTGCAATTGGATCAATCATCCTTTTGTGTTGATTTTAGCAGTTCTAAGAAATAAAACACGGTTTAAATGATATCCTACTACCTACCTCTTGTCCCTCTACAATGTTTTGATAAGAGAAGTAAGGCATGAAGTTCCTGTAGCTGTTTGATCTGGCATTATCAGGTATGTATAAACAGATGATGATGTTTTAGCAGAGCAAACAAATTGTATGTCATATTTTATTAAACAAAGAGTATAATAACTGGACTATATTATCACAATGGAAGCATAGAAGACCATAGACTGTACAGCTGAAACCCTGTAGCAATATTTGTTCCTCATATTTAAAGAAATGTATCTTTATCAAGCTTTCACAATGGCTGCATCTTGCTAATGTAAAGAATCTTCACTCTTGTTAAGGCTAGATGATTATAATTAAAAGATAAATGTACTGTTAGAAGGTTCTACGCCACACTCTATGAGAATTTAACAGAAAGACATACATTATACCTGTATGTGAATTATAATGGCTTCTCAGCAGGGAACGCAGAATCACTTACAGTACATAAACATTTAAAGAGGAAAATGCTAACACACTGGAAGAGTTTAACATCAGTAGCGATTTATCAAATGAAGAAGTTTCATAAAGTCCACTCTCTGGGAGAACATTCACCATTAGACAAAAGTCTGGCATCCTTGATAGTCTGAAGTTCAAACAATTTGAAAACCAAAACCATTCAATGAGATAAACAAGATTTTAAGAAAACCATCATCTTCTTTCTCAGGTAAAAGCCAGAATTAAAATAATAATAATTATTAAAATAATCCAACCAGGTTGCTTTACAGGCAAATTTACACACTGTCTCTTTAAAACACAGCATGCCCAAAAGCCTTTTGGGTTTGGAATGTAGCACTGCACCAAGTATTTCACAAAGCCTCTAAATATCACAAGAAGCTTTTTTTTAGAGAGAAAAAAAGAATAAAATTCCAGCTGACTGAGACTGTTCTAGCAGGAGTGCCTCAACTTTGCTCCCAGACCTGGAATTCCAGATAAACAACAGAGGACAGCAAACAGATTTTTTTTTTTTTTTTTGACTTTTTTTTTTTTTTTAACACGTCCTTTTGTGATGCAGCTACAAGAGAACTGATGAGCTTAGGGACAGAGAGAGTGAGAGTGCAAGTGCCATCAGGGTGAGCTGTGTGCTTAGATAGGAGCTGGTAGGAAGAGCCAGGGAATTCTCTGTGGATATGTGACTGGTGGAGACTCCCGCTGTGTTGTCCTTCCCCAGAGCGTTCTGCAAGACACAACACCTGCCTCGGTCACCATCATGACATTTTCATTGCAAAGCATTTAAGTTCTACCTCATGAAATTCATCTTTTGTTTGTCCGTGTCCCACCCACCACTGATACCTACGTATCACTCTCATTAATTGAATGATAAAAAGGGTATTAAAACATATATTGCAATGACAGTATTTTGAAATTAGTTAACACCAGTACTGCACACTTCAAAAAAGAGCAGAATATTTAAAAATTCTTACTTTAGCAATGGTTCCACATGCGAAAGTACAGTATTTTTTTTAGGGATCTGTGTTTATAATGCCAGTTTAGCAAAAGCAGGATCCCTACAAAAACTGCACCTTCTGTACAGTCAAGAAAATGAACTTCTTTGACAAATTATTTCTGGGTAACAATATATAAAATTTAATCCATGGGTGCAGATTATTAAATAAGTATCCTTGCTAGGTGCAATGGTGTTTACTATGGGATCTGCCTAAACATGCACCACACAGGCACTGAACTATAAAATCAGCAGAAGACACTCTGAACTTCTAAGTGAGATCATTCTTTAATGCATTATGATATTCACACACAACAAAACTGACAAGAGAAGCGTGAGGTAGTCCATGATAATCTTGACAGACTTGGAATGTCTTTTCTTATGGGGAGGCACATGTGCTGTGAAGTATCCAAGATCCACACTTACCTCATTAAGACAGAGCTCTGTATCTACAGATTCATTGGATTTTCGCTTCTTCTGTGCCTATGAAAAAATACACATTTTATTCCCTGTAAATTTATACTTCCAGCAGCATAAAGCACTTAGATAAATTTGCATCGGTTGTCATAATCCTATAATTTTGACAGCGATTTGCACATTATTAGCAAATAAACTCCAAATGTAACTGTATGTTTTCCAATAACATTCACATTCTCATTTGAATTTACAGCAAAATTTTCAACAGTCAACTAAGGGTACTTAGTAATTACAATGATGAGTGCCATCAGCTGCAGGGAACATGTTATCTCTTCTATGGCCCTTAAAAATGCCACTGGACGTTCATGAGAAGAAATGAAATATGACAGTTAATAATTACCATAGTACCACTGCATATTAACAAATCATCCATGAGATACCTCATTTTAGGAAAATATATAACACAGGAGTATTTTATCCTTAATGATTCTCGCAATTTTCCCAACTATTATGATAAAAATATAAATATTATTTGAATATATGTCATGTTGCCAGAGAATCTCTTCTGCAAAGCTGCAAAAAGAACACTGACTCAAGCAAGAAGCATTTCAGGTGACATCATCCAAAATGGAAGCAGCAGTCTGCACTCTGTCCAGCAGCAGGAGGTGTTTAATATTTCCACTCCTCAAGTGAATAAATCTGGCTTGGGTGTTTTCTGCTTTTCTACAAGGGCAGGACTAATCCCCAAGGTGTGGAAGGTGCTCTCAATAAACAATGCTATTGCTGACTTGATCACTCCAGTGATTCTCAGTATCAATTTTTATCAAAGATTTTTATCAAATCTTTGCACATTCCAGAAACAAACCAAGCACCCTTTTATAGGAGGTAACTGTGCTAAAGTAAATCAGTTCTTATAAGAGAACTTGGGATTACAAAACTTCTGACTGCAATGGGCAGCACATCTGGTGCTTCCACCTGGATGTTTTGTTGGACCTGCAACTTATTTCCTGCAAAAAACAAAGATCTGGATCTCAGATTGTTGCATTCATTTTGCACTGCAGAATCTTACTGGTTTAGGCAATGATGGCCTGGACTAAAACTGATGTGAGAAGTGCTGAGCAGTCTAATTTTATGCCCTGAAAAATTCAGTTCCACATACTGCTATTTTATATCTGAGAGCCACTGGTTCTGCCAACAGATACAAAATAGTCTTTGACCTAATTACTGATTTTAAAATTCAAATGAAGGAACTGAACTTAATAGGAAAAACATTCTCCACTTTTGATGATACATGAACATGTTTCAGACAACTGAAAAAGTTGTCTGTAAACAGCTGGGATTTAAGAGAAAGACAGCTTAGCCACAGTAATAATACATACTGAATATATGTGGATCATTTTTGTATATATGACAAAATAATAGCTCAATTTACTAATAAACACCCTCCACAAAATTTCCTTCTTATATACCCTCTCTACTAATTTGTACTATTAAAGTGGTTATGGTAAGCATAAATGTAACTGTCTAAATGGAAAAAGAAACACCTAGAAGTAAATTTACAACAAAAAGAAGCATCACAGTGAAGTCTTCATGCGTGTTTGTAGTGAATAGCAAACTTCTTTAAAAGGCAACTTGGTATCTGTCAACTCCCAAATGGCTGGCTCCAAGGAGGCAGGTAAAGAAGGATAAGCCAGATTTAAATCCTGATATTCTTATGTCTGTAACACCCATACTACCTTGAATTGGAATATGAGGCTTCAGATAAAGCCTCTGGATCAGAGGTTCAGATCCTGAAGGTGTAGGCTGTAAGGATCATACAAGCCTCTTATTTCTTAGTCTGTCACTTCTTGCTAAATTTTCTATTCCCACATGTGTCTGTTTATTTGAAACACTGCTTTGCTGCTTATAGCTGCTGTGGATTGATAGCACTGTGCTAACTACAGGTCTACACCTGGTAGTCGGTCTCAACACCAAAATCAGAATTTATGTGCCTTTTGTACCATGTTTATCAAATGAGTAAAGAGAAAAACATCATTATTTTTGCCTATATGCAGTAAAGTCTTCTTTTACTTCATTCAGCCTGAAAACAATAGAGTGCAGCAGCTAAAACATACTCATGTTTGAGAACACTATTTTAAGGGTAAAATAGACAGCTAGGAAAAAAAATCACCATAAAAAATCCTTTTGATAAACATCTAGTTTTCATTGGGAAGGTGATACTTCTCTGCATCCAGATACTTATTGTAGGTATTGTAACATCAACAACACTTATTCACATGCATTCTCTATTAAAATGTCCTCCTCTCTTAGCACTGAAAAGCAATTTTAATAATCAGGCAGGCTTTTCCCTTATCAAAACAGAAAGGACAGTATCTTCTATTTAAAAATACAACAAAAATGCAACCTTTTATTGGGAGGAAGAGAAACAGAAAGAAAAAATTGTCATTCTGAGGAGGAGATGAGACATTGTATGCCAAGTTTCAAATTGGAAGAGTACATTTTTAGTGTTGAGTTATAAACCTGTGAGAATGGGTTATAATGGAAATACTGGCATAGGCTGCACTACTGAAATACAACAGTGCACCACTAAATCACAAATAATGGGATAAAAAATCCAAACGTACATGTTGAAGAGAGTGCTTTAGTGAATGTCCTTTACTTACAACCAAAGGGGAAAATTCTTCCTGCCCTGTCTTGGGCAGAAATAGCTCTACACCTAGCAGAACTCACTGTTTGTGCTACTGTGAGTGAACACCTGATTAGAGATTAAAAAAAAAAATAAATTAAAAATTAAAAAATTAAAAAAAAAAAAAACAACTATCAGAGTTTAGAGGTTATGCTGATAGCCCTGGTGGAAATAGACCCAGACTGAGGGACGTGCATTTGAATTAAAGAGGATACCCTCTGCTGTCAGATATTTACTTTCTAACATCTTCCATTATCCTAAAAATTGAAACAAGAGAAATGAGTGTCCATCACGTACAGCTGCAGACAATTCTGGAATAACTGCACCATCACTTAATTTGGGAATTGAGAGTTTTTCATTATGCAAGATGCCAAAGATTCACTGCCAATCCCATCTCAGGTATCCAGCTTGCCTACCAAACAGGCAAGAAGGTGTTTTCAAATGTTCTGGAAGTACCTAACTCCACAGGAGTAAGAGAGCACACACAAATGGCTAAGTTGTCTGCATTCAAATTTGTATTATTTTAAAATTTTAATATAAAGCTGTTTATCTGGTGACAAAAAGATCTATGGGGAGTCCATCATTAACTAAAAAAACAAGCAGGGCTGGGCTGATAAAAATGATGATATTAAAAAACAGTGAAGGAAAATCAGCTTAAAATAAGTGGCTAACAAAGATGTATGAGTTCTTTCCTACTGAGGAAAAATAGCATTTGCTAATGACTTACTTAATGACACACTGAGCTGTGACATATCTCAGTCTGTAAAACAAAGTTACATAAATGGGCTGACACTTACTCCAGCTTTGCAGGGAATTGTAATTCATTAATGTGAGCAACTCAGGCAAAGCTGCATCCATACAGCCAACAGGCTTGACCTCACTTAAGCTTTTATGTTTTCTAAAAGCGAATTCCTCGTTTCCCAGAGAATCTCCTCACTGTAGCAGCACAAGCAATAGATGATATTTAGAGATAATTGTATTTAAGCACCTCCTGATGAGCTACAGTCTTGTGTCTGCTATTCACATACAAGACTTGTTTTGGTCTCAAAACCCTTTAGTTTTCAATATCAGAACTAAAATATTGGACTTGGTCAGGGGTTGGTAGAATAACCAACAGCATGTCCAGAAAAAAAATAAAATAATTCTCATTATGAGAAGAAAAATTTTACTTCTTTCTTTCCTAGAAAGAGAGTTAAATCAGGGTCAGCAGATGACGTAGTGATTTTCTGAAAAGAAAAAGGAATATTGCTTATAGAGATGTTTCTCCTTCAGAAGACGCTGTGGACCTCCATGTTTCCTTCTGATCCCAATGCATCCCAGATGAGTTTAACTGTATGTCCCTAATTAGTCTTCTCCTGCCCTGCACCTAATAATTATCATAAGATCCTCCTAAAACAGCTCCCTGCTTTCCATCCCCCAAATCCCTCTGGATCCATCCTTTGCAGACACTACAGCCCTGAATTTATACCCAGAAATGCAATCTTGCAATTATTCATGCAGCTTTTGCAAATCCCAGCACTGCATGGTTAATAAAAGCATTAAACACTGCAGCAGTGTCTCACCAGGAGTCAGTGCACACATTTATGGCTTGTCACCCAGCAGTATTTTTATATGTTCACTCCAGCATCAATTTCTGCTACTCAAAGCAAGGAAAACTTCTGACTGGGGATGTCTCCAAATGGATGGAGGTGAGCTTCAATGTGAGGGAGGGAAGGGAAGGAGCAGGATGTGAAGGAGCTGAATGCATTGCTCTGAATGCAAACAGGCAGAATGAGCACCCAAATTCAGAACCCAGCCCCTTTCTTCAGCTACCCACTTTGGGCTTTATGGAACGCATTGCTTGGACAGGGAGAGGCAACAGAAGCATCATTAGGACAGATATCTGCTAGGTAGGCTGTTTATACAGCTGATTTTAATGAGTGAGCCCTTGTCCTCTCCTGAGATCCTGGTTAGTTATGCCCATATTAACAAGCCTTTCTGAGGAGGAGGGACAAATCTCCCAGAATGCCTTCTTCAAATGACCACACTTCTAAAGTAGCTATAACAAATGAGTGTTTGTTCTTTTTGTTCTTCTCCTGTGTTGATTAGAGAGATTTACTATGCAACTAACCTGCTTTCGCCAACAGCAGGACACAAACAATAAGCAGAGAAATATACAGACTGTAAAAATGCAATCAGTTTAACTCTTCTGTGCTCACTAAGTGGATGGTGCATCTATCACAACTGACAATAGTATTTTCTTGTTAGCACAGGAGTTCTCTGCTACACTGGAGTATAATTACTTTCAACAGGGAAGATAGAAAAGTGTGGATTAGAGACACAGGCTACTGAAATAAAGACCCAATTCAGCACGGGGTAATTCTGAAACCCATAGCATCCA